CTCCTGGGTGCCCACTTTCCTTAAACACCTCCGTCCCTTCTCCTTCTCTATGCAAACACCTAGCTTTCTGGGGAAAGCTCTAATGTTGGGAAAGGTGGAAGGAAAGAGGACAGGATGATGAACAACAAGGTGGATGGACTCTATTATAGTGGTGAGGGGGTGCACCATTGGAAGACCTGAAAGACTAGGTGAGGGATAGACATCATGGGCAAAATCTATCTAGGTGGTCACTAGGAGTCAAAAACCTGACGGTACAAAATCAATCAATCATTTGTTGGGCTAGGTAGCCCTCCCATTTGTTTCCTTTCTACCTAATGTTGCTTCCTATTCTACATACAGCCTTCTGTAGGTTGGCAGCTCTCAAGTGTACATTAAGCTTAATGGTCAGTTCAGGTAAAGGGTGGAACAATTGTCCTCTTCCAGTTATAATCTGAGAACAACCAGAAAAAAGTCTTCTACATTGATGCAGAATGGCAGGATATGCCCAGCCATAACTGTGAACTTCCCCTATTCAGGCAGGGGTTACCATTGCTTAGCGGTCAAGCTTTTTTGCACGTCAAACATGCCTGCTTCAAAGTCCCAAGCATCTAGTTCTCTCTCAAATTTTGCTCTCTTCTGCACTTCACTAGTGGGGGGAGAGAAATCGGAGTGAAGAATTCAGGGCTGGCTTTAGTATCAGGCAAAATGAAGGAAGATCTCAGGAGGTAGCTGCAGAGAAACTCCAGTGACAGAGGAGAGAATTGTATCACAGATCTTGCCCACCCACTGATGTCTGAGACTGCATATTGGATGCACCAAAAAGTTTTTTGTTTTAATTTGGTAGACTTTGGCAGGCCGAAGTTCTTGAATCACCACTGATTCGCTGCAATTCGACTCGTTTTTCCAGGCTTGATCTGACACGAGGACCACAATTTTACTAACAGCGCTGGCTGGACATGTCCGCCGACTGTGCTAAATTAAAATTCAATCACCAGCCTAGTTGCTTATGCTCCAGGAACTGGTCTTATCATTTTAGCTCAAGGTTTGAGGGGAGACATTGTGGGCCAGCTCTGGAGCCAGATTGTCATAGGCAAAATCTATCTATGTACAGGTACTCCTTGACCTATGAGCACAGCTGAGCCCCAGAATTTTGTTGCTAGATGAGACGGCTGTTAAGTGACTTTTGCCCCATTTTACCACCCGTTTAACAACTGCAGTGAATCATTGCAGTTGTTAAGTTAGTAACAGGGCTGTTAAGTGAATCTGGCTTCCCCATTGACTTTGCCTGTCAGAAAGTCACAAAAGGAGATCACGTGAACCCAGGACGCTGCAACCGTCATAAATATGAACCAGTTGCCAAGCATCTGAATTTTGATCACATGACCACGGGGACGCTGCAACAGTCGTAAGTGTGAAAAATGATCATAAGTCACTTTTTTCAGTGACGTAACTTCGAACGGTCATTAAATGAACTGTTGTAAGTTGAGGGCTATCTGTAGTAGGAGTAAAAAAATAACTTGATGGCACATAGTCAACTGATCATGCGTAGCCTAATTATTTCCATAAACCTAGTATTCTTTATAAAGGTTAGTTGCTCCCCCCTTCTCTAGCTCCTCTTTTCTCTGTAAAATGAGGATTAAGTACTTGTGGCCTCGTGCTGCTGTAGGCCAACGCTGTCTCTGGACAGGGAACCATTTCCAGCTGTGCTGAAGAGAGTGAAGGTGTAATTGGTGCTGGGAGTGAGACCATGCAGGACAGCTTGGTTCAAAGGCTTGGGGTATGTTTCGTTTCCTCTGGATCCATCTGAAGGGCTCCACTGGAGTCGGATGGCACTGAATGGCGAGTTTGGGTTCACCCAGGCAAAATGAGCCGTGGTTTGATTGATCATCTGGATGCGGAAATGGGTCGGGGACAGTGGGGCTGAAAGAGAGAGGTAGAGTGTTAGAACAGCAACCCCAGAAAACAACAACCCTGGTTGTGTTTGAGAGGCAGTTTGGTCTAGTGTAAGGATAGGCAACCTTGGCTCTTTTATGACTCGTGGACTTCCAGAATTCCTGAGTCAGCTATGCTGAGTCATAAAAGTCCACGAGTCATAAAAGAGCCAAGGTTGCCTACCCCTTGTCTAGTGGTTAAAGCACCAGGCTAAAACCCAGGAGACTGTGAGTTCCAATCCCTCTTTAGGCATCAAAGCCAGCTGGATGATTTTGGGCCAATCACCAGGAGACTGTGAGTTCTAGTCCCGCCTTAGGCATGAAGGCTGACTGGGTAACTTTGGGCCTAGCACCAACTGTGAATTCCAGTCCCGCCTTAGTCATGAAGGCTGGCTGGGTGACTTTTGGCCTATCACCAGGAGACTGTGAGTTCTAGTCCCGCCTTAGGCATGAAAGCTGGCTGGGTGACTTTGGGTCAATCACTTTCTCTCAGCACATTGCACCTGACAGGTTGATGTGGGGAAAAAGGAGGAGGAAAGGGTATAAGTTAAGTTTGCTATCTTGAATTATATATAAAAATAATAAAGGCAGGATTAAAAAGGAACAAAATAAAATATAAAAGGGAGAGCTCTCTTTTAAAGGCATTTTTGGTTTCCTGCTTTCTTTATGCATGAGGAGACAGCTCCCATCATTCCCAACCACTGGTTCCACATGCTGGGGATGATGACAGTTGCATCTGACATAACTTGCAGCCACCCAACAGGTGGGAAAAGGCCTGTTGATATGAAGGACTTGGAAATGAGAAGCAAATCTAAACTGAAGGCTGGGAAGCCTCTAGGATTCCTTCATTTATACACAAAAGCACATTTTGTGTAGTGCTTGAGCATCCACAACCACCCTGTGAGAAGGGCCAGATAGAGCAAGGTCTCTCAGAAAGATTCACCGCTGAGCAAGGATTGGAAATCTAGCTCCCTTCAGTGCTAGGATGACAATCAAACAAGGTTCCTGAACCCTTTTCAGAGTTGCACTCACATGTTAGAGTCCGCAGCTTTGTGGCTTCGCTCAAAATCTCATTGAATTCTGAGATCACCTCCACCAGGTACACAAGTCCTGGCTTCAAACTGCAAATGGTGTAATTGAAACCCAGAACGGAGTAGTTGCCCACTTGTGTCCCGTCTTCTCTCCACCAACTGATTCTGTACAAATAATCCGTTGCATTCGGGTCTTTGGGGGGGTTCCAGGCAATGGAAAGGTAATAAGGACTGTAACTTTCCACAGTGATCTTCTCAGGGCTGTTGGGAGCTGAGGGAAGAGCAGATTTCGTTAGCCTGGTGTCCCAATACCAGGAAGTCAAATATCCTTACAACTCCTAAAAGATTTGGGCTCATTCAAGTCTCTGTTGGAGTTGGTCAAAAGGATTCTGGGAGTTGAAGTCCACACATCTTAAAGTTGCCAAGGTTGAGAAATTCTGCTCTGGCCTGTTCTGTAAACATGGGGGAAAATTGGAACATTTTTCTCTGCAATGAGCAGGGTTGCCACCAATATATCTCATGCTATGGCAACCATTGGGGCCCCAGTATCTGGGAAGGACCCCTCAAAGCCCTCCCTTGATATTTTGTTTGTGGCCTAAAGCTTTGAGCGCCAACCAGCAGCCATTTTGACTTTATCCTGTGTTGTTACCCCAGTGACAAATCAAATTGGTAGCTCAATCCATTACAGGTAGTCCTCACTTAACAAACACACAAATGGGACTGGCAACTCCATCTTTAAGCAAATCAGTCACTAAGAGGGAAATCATGTGATTGCAAAGGGCTTACAGGCTCACTTTGTTCATGGCTGCTAAGCAAATCACTTGCGGTCATTAAGTGAGACGTTGAATGACTGTGATGGACTTATGATCTCACTTCTGCTGTCATGTGACCACGACTTGCAAGTTTACTATCTGCTTCTCACTGACTCTGCTTATTGGAAGTGTGCAAATGGCAACCATATGATCACAGGATGCTGTGGTCATAGCTTCTGGTTTTGCGTCACAGCAAAATGGATGCAGGAAGGCAAAGCTCTGCCTTCCGCACCCGATTTCACCCTGCTGGGGGCCCTAAAAAGGGCCTAAAGTAGCCACAAAGAGGTGATGAACAAGGAGGGGTGCCTCGCCGATCACGGAGAAACTGCGGTCTTTTTGTTCGATCTGAGAAAAGCCCTCCAAACTGGCAGGGGAAAGACTGGCTACATTCCTGTGGTCGGCCATTAGCTGCTGACAACAGAAGAAGAAAAGCACCAATTAATATATCATAAAGAGCATGTTTGTAACTGGGTGAGAATATTGATCCTTTCTTTACTATTTTACAATTTAATTTCCTGGGAAAGGCTCCCAAGGTTAAAAACCTCCGAATATGAACAGAAGCGGCGTTTTAATTTCTATGGGGTACAGAAATACACAATATTGAAGTAGAAGTAACATAAAGCTACAGTTTTGATAAATTTGAGAACTGATAATTGTTAAGATTTTCTCTTTGGAAAAAAAACATTGAGATGAAATATAAGAAATCAATCCTTTGTCTTAAGAGTGGAAAATGGATTTTAAATGACATCTAGTGGAGGATTTGAGTACAGCACTATAACTAACTTCCTGGCTGCTTGGTGACTCCTAGCTTACGGGAGAACAATTGGCAATAAAGGAAAATATTTTAGCATACTTATCATCCTGACCTTTTTGGACTATAAACACCTACTGAGTTTGGATTTTTAATCTCAAGAGCTAGTGGGAGAGAAAGAAAAATTTGACCTTTGAGTACATCTGGATGGGAGAGACTTTTGAGCTGTTTTCAGGAAGGTTGAATATTCTGAACACTTTGAACTTTGTGAATTGCAACCATGCCTGACTGATAATTTTTGGATGCCTGAGACAAAGGATCAGTATAAAATATTGCTTTTGAGACTGGACTTGTATTCTGGAACCTATTGGATTATAAAGGCTACATATAAAGACCAGAAACTTTGTTCTACTTTTATTGAGACTGGTCATATTAGAGCAGGAGTAGGCAACCTTGGCTCTTTTATGACACATGGACTTCAACTCCAAGAATTTCTGAGCCAGCCATCTCCAGGAATGATGCCTCAAGAAAAAACAAACACCTTTCAGAAGGAAATATACTCTATGCTACAACTAATTCACCAAACAATTGTTGCATACAAAGAGAACATACAAATAAATCATAATGAGACTAAAAATAATCTAGGTAATATAAATGAGCAAATCTCCAAATTAAATCTACAACTAGAAAGTTCCAAGACAATGACCACAAAGTATGAAACAAATAAACCAGAAATCAGAAGATGCAGAGGAAATGGATCTAGAGACAGAAGAGACAAAAGAAGGGAAATTTAAATTACCATATACAAATAAAATATTGCAAGATTTACCCATAACAATAAAAATGCAAGAGACTTTTTAACCCCTTAAGTCTGCAAAATACACCTGATGACAAGGGAGAAGTTTTTAAAAAAGGGAACATAGAGCTGTCAGGGGAAATGTTACAACTTGGGAGACAAAAAATGAAAAGAGATATTGAGGGAGAAGGAAAGTGGGAGTTGCTTAAGGAATATAAATGGGTGGAATTCTCCCCCCCCCAAATATACCCTACCTAAATTGTCTTCCTCATGCCAAGCAACTTTCACAAAAGTAGAAAGAAAATTCCTGGGCGATTCAATTGCCTTGGCTTGGAAAGCTACTTGGCAAAGAAAGAAAGTGAGAGCTAGATTTAAAAAATAGAAGATTTGACCTATTAGAGGGGGCATTATATGTTTAAATACTTGTTTGAATATAATTAAAAGAATGGATGACCCTTAAATATAATTAGACTTTTATAATGAAAGATATGATTTAGAATTAAAATAGCATTTTTTTCTTTTTTTTATATAGGAAATATGAAAATAAGAGGAGGATGGGTATGAATAAATTTTTTATCAATATAAATGTAATTAATATTGAGAAAGTCATAACTGACAAAGATACTTCAAATATTGATGGGAAATCAAACTTTAACAAGAGCACAAAAAACAGGAGATTGATTTAGGAATTGATATTATTGTTATTTCTATAACATTAGTAAAATATGATGAAGATGTTTATATACATCAACAGTACCAAGAATTGTAATTGTGTAATGAGGGGAAAATGGAAACAATATGGGGAAGAAAGGAGGATCAGGGAAAAAATACTGGATTGTGCAATACTGAATAGATTTATATTAAAGAAGTTAATGTTAAATATTTGAACCCAGACAACATGTTGTTTACTAAGCTCTAAAGATTGTAATTCTTAAAAATTAATAAAATATTAAAAAAAAGAACTGGTCATAAAGTTACTTTCCTGGTGCTGTCACAATTTCAAATGGTCATTAAACACAGCAGTCATTAAGCAAGGACTGCCTCTAATGGCCCACAAGACACATTGACTTATTTTATGGATCCTTAGCCATCATTTTAATCACATTCCCCTCTCCCCAGTCACTAAATCCATGCTACCTGTGATGACACTTATGGTCATTGTGTCACCATAAACGTTGCTCTTCGTGACGGCCCTGACTTCAATTGTGTACATTGTTCCTCCTTTCAATCCTTTTGCAAGAAATGGGCTTTCATTGGCAATGGTGCAGTCAATCAAGCAGACACAATAGGTGTAGGTGTAGCTTTGAGGGTCTCTGGGTGGCTTCCATCCAATCAGCAGGGAATCTACTGTGCGATTTTCTATTGTAAGGTTCTGAACTGACGAAGGCCCTGAAATAAACAGAAGACATTTTTCACAGCTTTCTATATTGAGCAGCTCAGCTCAATGGGACAACCCATCACAGTCAACTTGCCATGGCCAATTCACCGTGGGAAAACTCGCCGTGGGACAATTTAACACAGGGGGTCTTCAAATTTGGCCCTTTTATGACTTGTGGACTTCAACTCCCAGAATTCCTCAGCCAGGCATGCTGGCTGAGGAATTCTGGGACTTGAAGTCCACAAGTCATAAAAGGGCCAAGTTTGAAGACCCCTGATTTAACAATTCAATTATTTAAAATAAATTAGTTTTTTTTTAATTTTTTGTCATTCACATTTCATTCTGTCCCTCCTTTTTCAACCTTTCTTTCAATCTTTTTCCACCATTTCTTTGATATTAGTGTAACTCTTGTCCTGCAATGAATTAGCCGTGGTGAGTTGTCCCACAACGAGTTGGCTGTGGTGATTTGGCTATGGCAAATTGTCATAGACCCCAACCAATCCTTGTTGATTCGGCATCACTGCTGAGAACTGCAACCAAATGGTACAACATGGAATGTCCTGATGTCCAGGATGTAGAAATTGAAATAATAAATAAAGAAGCAAGCGAGCTGTTCTACTTCCCTCCCCTCTCATTTGTTCCACTTTTATCTTTTCCCAGAATAATCAGCTAAGCATTCCTTGGCACAAAGCTTAAGGTTTATTAGGCTATTAGCTACCCCTAATTAGATTTATTGTTTAAAACTAGACATTTCAAATTGTTTGAATTGGGTTTCTTTTTGCAAACTTTGGACTACCCTTAAGTCTCCTCATTCATTGCTCTTGAGCATGATGGTGCCATTTTGCCAACTTAAAGATGGATATTCAGAAAACCAAGCTGGGTACTGTATTAGAAAACAGTATTGGTTCTCAGTTTGGAACTTTGATCAGAAATTTAATAAGGTTCATTATGTGAATGATTGATTCATCAGTGTGTAAGTTGCACACAACTTTGTATATCACTGTCTTTATCCTTTCAGCATGTTTGAACTCCTATGCTAGTAATTTCACTGATGCCTTTTGTCTTCCTATTGGCCAATGGGGAGATGTCAAAAATGGCAACCAACCAATCCCTCTTTCCCTGTCTTCATTCTCACCTCTTTGCCTGTGGCTTTTAAAACAAAGCATAATTGTGGCCATTGCAAGGGAAGAATAGCAAAACTGATAAATGGACTTCACTAATGTCAAGATGTCATGACACGCCATGGATAGAGGGGGAAAAGAAATCCCTAAAGCTGAGGTGAGACAAACAGGGAATTCCTGCCATTGACAAACTGTCCACTGCACAACTCCAGATGTTTCCTCTAGAGCAGGGGTCCCCAAACCCCAGGCTGTGGCCCACTACAGACCGTGCCCTATTTGAAACTGGGCTGCACAAGAGGTGGGCCAATGTGCGCATGCAGCTCCACTTGTGCAAGTGGCACCCCAAGGCTTCTCTTCTCTCTTGCATAAGTGGAGCTGGCCACCCATGTGCGCCGGCCTGCCAGTCTCATGGCCTGGTTCACCTCTCACTCCCCCCAGCCGGGCTGCCAAGCTGCTTGCTCCCAATGCTCCAAAAGCGGTGAGAAGAGAGGCTGAGTGGAATGAGAGTGCCGTGCTCAGTTTTGCTGGCTCACAGAGGCTGACTGTGCAGGACACCGATCTGCTTTTGGAGTGTCAGGCAGCCTTGGTGAGTCTGAAGGAGCACGAGACCGTGCCCCCAAAGGCATCTCTTCTCCATGCCAAAAGCTTTTGCAAAAGGACGAAAGGCTTTGGGGGAACAATCTCAGGCTGCTTCAGGCCTTCTGTTCTTCCTTTGCAAAAGATTTTGGCGCAGAGAAGCCTGAAGGAATGCGCAACGGTACCCCCAAAGGCTTCTCTTCTCTCTTGTGTGAGTGAGGCTGTGCATGTATGCGCGCATGTGCCAGCCCACTGCTTGCGTGACCTGGTTCCCCTCTCTCCCCCTCAGACAGGCTGTCAAATCATGAAGGTTGGGGACCGCTGCTCTAAAGCATGTAGGAGAAAGACTAGCAGAACCTGAGGGTGGAGTTAAAAGAAGGATCAACTTAGAATCCCTATGTAGCCACAAGTGAACTAAATCCAATCTGCCTTGAATTCCATTGACCCTTATCCAACTTCAAGTAGGTACTGTTAGCTGAGAATATTCCTGTGCAATAGACATAAGTAGCAATAAATCAGTTTAATTGGACCTTCACGTGTAGACCTGATCTTTTGAGCTGGGCAGAGGAGGAGCTGAGACTCAGGCTCCCAGGATTTATGCAAGTTCAACAGCTTTATGGCTCAGCCCAGATCTCAGACTGATCCAGCCCTTGAGAATAGAAAGAACCTCAGTTCTGCTGCATCAGAACTGAGACATCACCAGAAGCCCTAGTGGTGCAGTGGTTAGAATGCAGTTTTGCAGGCAAACTCTACCCACAGCTGGAGTTCGATCCTGATGGAGCTCAGGATTGACTCAGCCTTCCATCCTTCTGAGGTTGGTAAAACCAGAACACAGTTTGTTGGGGCAGAATGCTGATTCTGTAAACCACCTAGAGAGTGTTGTAAAGCACTATGGGGCGGTATACTATATTAGTCTAAGTCAGTGATGGCGAACCTTTTAGAGACCGAGTGCCCAAACCGCAACCCAAAACCCACTTATTTATCGCAAAGTGCCAGGGCCTCATCAGCATTGTAGTGCCCTCAGTGGGGTGGGCATGGGCATGGCCCACTGGGTGGGCGTGGCTGCAGTGGTCACGGCAGACTGAGTGGTTATGGCTGGGGTGGGCATGGCCACCTTGATGTTGCTCATGGGGAGGACGTCTGTGGGGGCTGGGCAGGATTGGGGGAGATCCAGGAGGCTCATCCTGCGGGGTGAGGCAGGGGATAGGGTGGGGGTGCCATTGATGTGGGGCAAGGCGAGGCAGGGGGGGCTGCTGCCTGACACCATCAGCCCCTGCACACAGAGGCCAGTGAGCGCATGGGGGCATGCTCTACCACCTCTGCTCAAGCTTGCTAGCCAACTGCTTCGCCTCCTTTGTGCTGGGTGGGGCTGCCGCTCGGCTGCCAGCAGTGGCCTAATGGACCTGTGCAAGCTGGCAGTGGTGGCAGGTGTGCCCACAGAGAGGGCTCTGAGTGCCGCCTCTGGCACGTGTGCCATAGGTTCACCATCACTGGTCTAAGTGGTATTGCTATTGCTATGTTGTCGTTTCTGCTGCTGCGAGCAAGTAGCAATTGTGAGACTCACTAGTAGTCACGTTGATGGATGCTTCTTCACTACAACTTCCATTGAGGATTCTATACAACATCACATTATATTCCTGCCCGGGAGACAACTTTGCCATGACTGGGCATGCATTTGTCCAGCTGCTTTTAGAGGTCATTACAGAGGGGTCTCTGGAGGCTTCATGACAGCAGTTGATTACATCTTGCCAGTTAAGAGTTACAGAACAGTTGAGTTCCTCCAGTGAAATCAGGCCCTCCGTGGGATTCAGCTCTGTGCACAAAATGAAACAAATGAATCAGAAATAAAGAGAGGATGTCGTTCTCATTTCCCAGGTAAACATCTTCAAATTCACCAGCTCTTTCCCCTTAGATTGAAGCTATGGGTTCATCAAGCTGGTGTTCCAGGGAATCAGTGTATCTCACAACATTTTCCTTTGCCCCACCAGGCTTTTATTTATTTATTTATTTATTATTTATTAATCGCATTTATACCCCGCCCTTCTCCTAGTGGACTCAGGGCGGCTTACAGCCAGTTTAAAACAGAATAACAGTACAATATACAAATTTAAAATGTGGTTAAAATAAAATATTAATATAGGCCTTTCTTTTATTTTAAAATTATTTAAAAACCAAATTTAAAATACCCCTTAGGCCAGTCCTGCCAGCTG